GTTCTTTTCACTATGTTGGCAAAATGAAGGTTTTAAACTTTCACATAAGAGTACCAATTAAAAAAGACATTTCTCACATTCATGTGATACAGTTTGAACTTCATCATACATGACAATCTTGGTATCAACCTAAAGGTTCCATGATGGCAAATTAGCTCAAGAGTTCTGGTATCACAAAAACATCCATCTTCTTTAGCAGATATCACAATGTTTCCTTGCTCCATATCAAGGCTAATGAGATCAAAATCTTCATTTTTGACAATAACATCTACAAATTTCATACCCTTAACAACACACACCAGAAGTAAGATTTCATCCATACTTCTTAGATCTTCACATACTATCTCCATATTCTCTATTTTGCATGATCATGGTTGTTACCATCATTGACTCTAACAGTATCAACCTCAATATCTTCATGGATTTGATTATCATTCTTCTTATGCATTTGAAACTCTGTCAACATGTTGTACAAGATGTCTAGCATATTTTGACCAATATATTGAATCCCCGTATGGGTTTCCTGGATCTTTTCACCAAAAGAATTTTGACTAAGACAATGATTTCTCACAGTCCCCTACACGATTGAAACATCAATCCCATTTCCACCAGCATCTTGATCAGACTTACCAACATGTGGAATATTGTGGAAAGCAATATTTGGGACATACATCTTATGACTAAGAATCAAGTGTCCAAGATGAACACCAATGTCGACATTACCAAGCACAATATCATGATTTTGATTGATAAAAACTCCAGAAATACGAGAAGGAATCCCAATAGGCATATTTATGCCATAACCATTATTCTTATTTACCTTCTTCTGAACCAATGTTGGTTGTTTAATACTGGAAGAACCTCTAGTGAAGCACACTCACACTAAAATGTTTTTCAAAAATGTTTTTACCAAAGAAAATACCTTAAAAAAATCTTAAAGTTGTGCCAGATGAATTAGGAACTGTTAAAATTGGATGAGGCAAAATTTTGACTTATCTAATCAGTTAGAGCTTTTGTCTAATTGGTTAGATCAATTCAAAATTAAGTCACAAGCGATTTGGACAATGCCTTAATGATGCACAATAACTAGATATATTTTCCTTCCTTTTATAATCTTACAAACAATTATTTTTCAAACATCTAATAGGTTATGAAAAGGTGATAATTAATTAGATTATCATAAACTGAATTAATTTAAAATTATATTTTGACCTAACTTCTAGCCTATAAATAAAGGTCCATTTTCTCATTTCAATCTATCCATAATCGTGTTTTTGAGATTTTCAACTGTCTCTCTCTAAACTTTTCTTTAAATTTCTCTCACTAATGTTTTAGCCTAAGTGGTTTTATGAGAAAAGTCATTTTGTGAGTGAGGAAAATTTGTGATTCTAGAAAGGGTAGAATTATAAATTCACCAATAGAATCTTTTGTATACATCTGAGTTGAATACTGTCCATTTAAAAGTTTATTTGTGTTAGAAGCTAAACCCGTTAAGAACTTTGGTTTGGGATTGTGTGATTCAATTCCAATTTAGGTTCGAGATCAGCCCATGATAAAATCTCATAGGTTCTTGGTCAGCCCAATATTAAAACTTAGATAAGTTGAAGCTCAACCCGATATTAAAAACTTCATAAGTTCGAGATCAGCCGGATGTTAAAATATAAGTTTTTGGTTATCCCTTGTAAAACCAAGATTTTGAACTTGAAGACTAACATTTCCAAGGTTCTTGTTTGTGGAAAGAGGATTAACTATTTCAATCTATCATTGGAATGGAAGATTGGCCACTTCACTCCTAAGATTATTTTGAAGAAAAGACACAAACGCCCACATCCATCGTCTTTAATTATTTGGTTGAAAGTCAACCATAATTTCCTTATATAAACTCTTGCTCAAGACCACAACATACGACTAAACTCTTCCTCAAAAAAATCAATACTACTGCATGCTCAAAAATAAATCGAACTCATAAGTTATAGTTAAATACGAGAAGACTTTTACCATCTTATCATAGTACTCTTGGTGTAACATGAAACACAAATAGAATAATGAGACAAAGTGATATTCCTTAAATAAAACAAGAGATCATTTTAGGAATTATATAATTTTTACTTTTGATTGTGTCGAAGTGTAACCAAGAAAACTGTTAGAAATCCACCAAATATCTATGATGAATTTCTACCAATCTTGATGAACAAGATTGATATCATCATACAATGACAATGAATTATGAGAAAAGAAAAGAAAATAAAGAAGAAAATTATTTTCTGCAGAGTTTCTTTCTGCCTACAAATTGTGGAAAACTTTATTAATCACTTGCAACTGCAAATTCTGTGATTACAATGAATTGACTTGATTACAAAATTAGGGGTTACTCCATCTATTTATAGATTTAGGTTAGCTTGCTCCTAAGCCAAAGCCCAAAACTATAAATCCAAAAATACCTATTTTGGTACTAAATCAAATCTATTTATTTTGGATCTAAATCAAATCTATCTAAATCTAAAATAAATAAAATATGTGTGTAGCATTTTCGACACACCTACTTCGACACTCTCTTGTCTATGTCGAGCAAACTACTTTGACACAAGGAATTACTTTCAACACACCACCTAATTCATTGTGTCTAAGTTATCTACATTCATCATAGCTCGTAGTCTTCAAAATACTTCGACCTGCACACCCTTTGTCATGATGTCTGTAATTTGATTCTCAGTTCTGCAGTGTTCCAAATTCATCTTCCCATCTTCTACCTGCTCTCAAAGATAGTGGAACCTCATTTTGATGTGCTTGCTTCGAACATGTGCTATCGGGTTCTTCGCGAGATTGATAGCTGACATGCTCTCAATCTTCATGGTAATTGCTCCATGATCTTTCCCTGTTATCTCTTCGACCATGTTCAGCATCCAAGTTGCTTGACATGCACAAAGAGAAGCAGCTATGTATTCTACTTTGCATGATGATAATGCCACTACTAGTTCCTTTCTTGAACTCCAAGCTACCGGTGCACCACCTAACATAAACACATATCTTGTTGTTGATTTTCGATCTTCAGTATCACTACACCAACTCGAATCAGTGTATCCCACTAACTTGCATTCTTTTCCTTTATCAGCTGTAGGAAAAAAAATGCCATAGTCAAGAGTTCCTTTGAGATACCTTAGTATCCTCTTCACTGCTGCTAGATGTGATACCTTTGGCTTCTTCATGAATCTACTTACCATACCTACACTATATGCTAATTCATGCCTTGTATGACAAAGGTATCTCAATGACCCAATAAGTCTTCTGTATTGGGTTAGATCGACATCATCTTCATCTACATATTTTGACAATTGCAGTCTTGGTTCTGTAGGTGTCGAAGTTGAGTTGCATTCTTCCATCTCAAATCTCTTGAGAATTTCTCCTACATATCTTCTTTGATGCATCATCAAATCTCTACTGCTCTTATAGAATTCGATGCCAAGGAAATATGAAATCTCACCCAGATCAGACATTTCAAATTCCTTGTTGAGATCACCTTTGAAGTCTTCGATCTCACTTTTGCAGCTACCTGTTATCAACAAATTATCGACATAGAGACATAGTATAAGCAATTCACTATTGCTTATTCTTACATATACTCCATGCTCAGTTATGCACTTCACAAATTCCTTCTCCTTTAGGAAACTATCAATTTTCTTATTCCAAGCTCTTGGAGTTTATTTCAATCCATACAGGGCTTTATGCAACCTGTACACCTTTCTCTCTTCATCGTGTTTCACAAACCCAACTGGTTGTTTAACATAAACTTCTTCGTCTAAGGGTCCATTTAGGAATGCACACTTTACGTCCATCTGACATATGTGCCATCTGTTTATTTCTGCTAGACCAACAACTAACCTGATTGTTTCGATCCTAGCAACAGTTGCAAAAACTTCATCAAAGTCTATTCCTTCTTTCTGTAGAAATCCTTACGCCACAAGCTTTGCTTTGTGTCGAGTTACTTCCCCTTTGGAATTCATTTTCACTTTGTATACGCACTTGACATCAATTTCCTTCTTGCCTTGTGGCAATTTGACAAGTGACCAAGTGTTATTGTCTTTGATAGACTTCACTTCTTCGCTCATTGCTTTCACCTACTTCGAATCCTTCAATGTTTCAATTGCATTGGCAGGTTCGACATCTGCATAGAAAGCATAATGTACTAACTCACCTTCATTATCTATCACATCATCTGATGTAATCACACAATCTTGCAATCTTGCAGACATGCGTCTTGTTCTTTGAGGTCTGTTTGTACTTGGTTGATCTATAACTGCTGGTTCCTCTTGTCCAACTTCTCTTTCGACTTGAGTTTTTGGTTCTTCAAGTAGGATTCCCAATGAATCTTTCTTGATATTTTCAGTCCAATCCCATTCTTTAAGCTCATCTATGATCACGTCCCTGCTAATCACAATCTGCCTGTTCACTGGGTCGAACAACTTGTAACCTCCTGTCGAATGATATCCAACTAGAATAATTTGACTCGACTTGTGATCAAGTTTTCTTCTCAACTGATCTGGCACATGTCTATATGCAATAGATCTAAATACCTTCAGATGACTCAAGCTAGGCTTCACACCAGACCAACATTCTTATGGAGTAACTCCTTCTAGATTCTTCGTAGGACATCTGTTCAAAATGTATGTTGCAGTCGACACAGCTTCTCCCTAAAACTCTTTAGGTAAATTCTTGTCTTTCAACATTCTTCTCAACATATTCATGATGGTTCTATTCTTCCTTTCTGTAGTTCCATTATGTTGTGGAGTATAGAGTGGGACCACCTCATGCACAATCCATTCCTTTTCACATAACCTGTCAAAGCCTTTCGACACATAATCTCCACCACCATCAGTTCTCAAAACTTTGAGTTTTTTAGACCACTTTGTCTTTCGACCATAAACTTAAACTTGGAAAATGCCTTGATCACTTCACTTTTCTTCTTGATCAGGTAAGTCCACAGCTTTCGACTGAAATCATCTATGAATGTAACAAAGTATTTGTTACCTCCCATCGAATCCACCTGGATTGGTCCACATACATCAGAGTATATGACTTCAAGAATAACCTTCGACCTGCTTCCTGCATCCTTGCTGAAGCTATTCTTGTGTTGCTTCGCCTGCACACATTCGTCACATACCTCGTTTGGAATATCGATTTCTGGAAATCCTGAAACCATATTTCTTATCTTCAAATCTCTAATGTCTCTGAAGTTGAGATAGCCTAGTCGATAATGCCATATCCATTCATCTATTCTAGCTGCAGTCGAAAGGCGCTTGTGCTCCATCACATTTAGTTCGATCTTAAAGATTCTATTCTGAGACATAGGAGCTTTCAAGATTAATCTTCCATTTGCGTCGATGACTCTCATCATCTTATCTTAGATCGACACTTTATAATTCTTTTCGACCAACTGCCCTATACTGAGCAAATTGCTCTTCATGCCTGGTACGTAGAACACATTGGAAATTACTGACCTCTTGCCATCTTTCGTCATAATCATAACATCACCAATACCTTCAGCTGCTAGGATATTGTCATTTGAGAATTTTACTATTTTTTCATTGAGGGCTTTATGTTGACAAACCAGTCTTTCCTTCTAGACATATGTGATGAGCATCTAGAATCCAAGTACCATTGGTCCTTGAATCTATCTCCATCTCTTGTTGTGACCATCATCATCTCTTCTTCTTCTTCTTCTTCATGTTTTACAAACTTTGCATCACTTTCTTAATTCTTTCACTTTTCTGGACAATCACTCGAATAATGACCATACTTCTGACAATTGTAACATTGAATGTGACTCTTGTCAGGTTTTCGACCACCACCTCTTCCTCTATTTGCAACACCACCTCGTTGGTTGCCTTGGTATGGTCTTCTTTGATTTGACATGTTTCCTTCGTTCTGGTTTCCTCTACCAATCGATTTATTGTAGCCGCCTCTACCTCTGTCGAACCACTTTCCTTTGTCTTTGGTTTCTTTTGCTGAATGTGCCTGCAAAGTCATATCACTCTTCGACTTACCTGCAACTCTTTCAGTCATTCTTTGTTCATGAGATTCAAGTGTCCCTTAAAGCTCTTCCTTTGTCAATTTCAACAAGTCTTTCTCCTCTTCTATAGCCACCACCACGTGGTCGAACTTAGGAGCCAAAAATCTCCAGATCTTCGAAACAACAACTCTTGTTGTTAATGTTTCTCCACATACCTTGATTTATTTCACTAGTTTTGTAATCTTAGTGAAGAAATCAGATATACTCTCACTATCTTCCATCCGAAGCAATTCATACGTTTTCTTGTGAGTTTGTAACCTCACTTCTTTCACCTTTTCTGCACCACCAAAAGACCTCTTAAGAACCTCCCAAGCTTCTTTTACGGATTCTGAATCACTCACTTTTTCAAAATTTTCTGGACTCAGACATTGATGAATTATAAAGAATGCTTTATAACTCATCTTCTCAGATTCTGTGTGTTTCTTCTTTTCTTCTTCTGAAGCGTTTTCTCCAAGCGCTTCCAATCCATCCTTTACAAGATCCCAAAGACCTTGACACCTGAATAAAACTTTCATCTATTTGCACCAATTCTCATAGTTGCCTACTTTTAGAACTGGTAGAGTTGTTGGATAATTTGTATTCCCATAATTCACCATCGTGAATTCTTCTTCTTCCTCAACCGTTCTTGATTGATACTTCTCTTGAATCGATTAACCGAGCTCTTGATACCAGATGTTGGAAATCCACCAAATATCTATGATGAATTTCTACCAATCTTGATGAAAAAGATTGATATCACCACACAATGACAATGAATTATGAGAAAAGAAAAGAAAGAAGACAATTATTTTCTGCAGAGTTTCTCTCTGTCCACAAACTATGGAAAACTTTATTAATCATTTGCAACTGCAAATTCTGTGATTACAATAAATTGACTTGATTACAAAATTAGGGGTTACTCCATCTATTTATAGATTTATGTTAGTTTGCTTCTAAGCCAAAACCCAAAACTATAAAAAGCCTAAAATACCTATTTTGATACTAAATGAAATCTATCTATTTTAAATCTAAATCAAATCTATCTATTTTAAATCTAAATCAAATCAAATCTGTATATAACATTTTCGACACACCTACTTCTAGGGGTGTTCGCGGTGCGGTTCGGACGGTTTTGAAGAAAAAAATCACCCGAACCGCAAGAGAAAAAAACACGCGGTTCGGTTTGGTTCGGTTGGATTTTAAAAATAAATCCGAACCAAACCAAACCAAACTAATGCGGTTTGGATTGGTTCGGTTGGTTCGGTTTTTTATAAAAAAAATTATTAAGACATACATACAAATATAGAGGAAAATATAATTTTGTGTTTAATTGTTCATACATTATCATAAAAAAATTTATAATTGTCAAAATAAATTTATAATTTGATACATAAAATTGCGTATTATAATTTTATCTAAATCTAAAGAATGATATAAACAATATTGCATTCTTAAATAAATATTATACAAAGAATACGATAAAATATATTTTGTGAAAATAATATTTATAAATGAATAATGTTTTATTTTTTTATGATTTGTAAATTAAAATGAATCTAATACAAAATATGATAAAATATACACATAATACATGTTGATTTCTCTATAGAATTAAAAAATATATATTGGTTAGTAAGATTTTATAACATAATGCGGTTTTGTTTGGTTTGGTTCGGTTTGTAAAATATAAACCGCAAACCGAACCGAACCGTTCGGTTCCGCGAGAAAATGACCCAAACACATCCGAACTAAATACAATTTTTTACGATTTCGGTTTGGTTCGGTTTGATTTTGCGATTTTTCTATTGGGCCGGTTTGGTTTTGAACACCCCTACCTACTTCGACATTCCCTTATCTCTTTCGAGCAAACTGTTTTGACATAAGAAAATATTTTTAACAAAAATAAGGGGTGCAACCAGCATAAAAGCAAATTTTAATGATTCATTTTCTTCGTCGATAATTGAAGACGAATCCCAATTCCTCCATTGTTCCATTTCAGTAGCTCCATAATCGAAAGACCTCCACAGTCTCCGGCGATTCGGTACGTTACAGTATCTCTCAGACGATAACCTCTCATTCTCTATTCAAATACTCATCACTTTTTTTCTTCTATTTTTTCCGATTAAATTGCACTCTCTTTACCCATGCAAAGTTTACTACTTTCAATAAATTGACCTAAGTTTGCAGTTTAATTTCTCTGACCCAATTCTTCTACAGTTATCTATGTTGTATTATAATTTTTATCCGCTTGTTTTTCAGTTCCCAATTTTTTTCAAGAGAAACTATGCATACAATTCTAGTGTAGCTTATGTGGTTAAGTGATTGGTTAGGGTTTTTGTGGCTTTAATGTCATTTATGCTTTGTGTTGTTTGCTCAGGAATTTTTCGGAAACAATGAGGCGGCAGGGGCAGTATGGTGATGCATCTGCGAATAGTTATGGAGCTTCGCAGATGCATCATCATCATCTTCATATGGCTGGTCAAAGGGTGGAGACTAAGTCTGGTAATTTTGAAGGGCGGCTAGAGGCATTCACTCCAGAGAGAGATAATCAGTATCCGAATTCTAAGCCAGAGGGTCAGTGGAGATGGGAATTGGATGAATCGAAGATGTCTAGTAATCCTATGATGTCGAACATGTTTAATGAAGGCAAGTGTGTTGTTCGTTGTTTCCTTATGCTTGATTATGCACCACTTTATTAAAACCTCTATTAACCTCAATGGCAATGTTGTCAATATACATCATAAAAAACAGTTTTTGGTTTCTGAACCTTAGGGCAACTTTGCATGTTCAGGTCAAGAGGGTGGTGATGCTTCAAGGTCCTATTTTCAAGGGCAGAGGCCTGATCCTAAATTAGCTTTGCAGAACCGGAGCAACAGTGATTCCAGATCTCAGGCCCATGGAGAAGATATAGATGTTAGGTATGAAGGAAATCATTCATCACAAACTTTTGAGGGTCTTGAGCAGAATTTTCATGATGACATTATTAAACTGACTAAAGAACAGCAGGATGTTGAAGATGCAGAACATGCCAGGCACAGAGAGGTTAGCTTTAAATGTTAACACTATTATTTTTCACTTGGCTCTTTGAATACCCAAAATCTGCAACAAAATTGTCAACCTTGATGTCTTTTTTTCTTTTTCTTTCAAAATAGATGAACACATAATCATGTAATACCCTTGATGGATTGAGTACAGATCCTGCTAGGTTAACAAAAAAAAAAAACTTTTTGGGGTTTAAGCATACTGAAAACAGGAGAAACATGATGAGCATAGAGAGTTTAGACTGCTTTCGAAGATATTTAGTTTTATAAACAAATGATCATCATTAATAAAACTAACTATATTATTATGGCTAAGACAAGTTTTCAAATGAGCGCAGCAGGGGAAGTTATTAACATAAACTTAGGAATATTTCATAACCTAAAACTAACTATGCATCATGGTTTCCAGACAGAAGTTTGAAGGTGTTTTTAAAAACCTAATTTACCGTGTTAGGGTATCTAACCCCTTAAAGGGTCTTACTTTGTTAGAGTGCATTGTTGTACACATTTTTCTGTTGCTGTATTGTCCATCACTAACAAGGTAGTTAAAATCTAGATTTTATGCAAAATTGAAGGGTAAGTAAAATCATACAATCTGAACATTAATTATAAAATTATAGAAAATTCAATAATCTAAAATATGTACATATAAATTCATATATATGCATATAAAGTAGCATAAGTAAGATATAGAAAACCTTAAATCACTCTAGAAATACTTGTGTAAATTTAAATTCATAAGCATAGTTGCTTAAACAAAACAACTAAAGCTAATAAAAAACTAGTCTCAAACAACAAACTCAAACTCAAAAGTGTCAAACAAAGCAATAAAAGATAGTAAAAAACATCAAGAACACTTGATCTTCAATTTTGAAATAATCTTCATCTTCAGCTCCACTTCCTTCACCAACAACAACAACCAAGCCTTATTCTACTAAGTGGGGTCGGCTACATAAATCAACTTTCGCCATAATGTTCTATCCAGAACCATTCTTCTATGCAAATCTTTAATCTCGATATCTTTCTTAAAAACTTCTCTTATAGTCTTTCTAGGGCCTTCCTCTTTTTTTAGTTGTTTGACTTCTCTCCATCCGATCTACCCTCCTTATCGTAGAATCTACAGGTTTTCTCTCTACATGTCAAAGCCACCTAAGTCTATTTTCCACCATCTTCTCTACTATAGGGGCTACCCCAACACTTTCTCTAATAATTTCATTTCTAATCCTATCCTTTCTAGTCTTACCACACATCCAACACAACATCCTCATCTCTGCTACACTTACTTTATTCTCGAGCACATTTTTTTGTTGCTCCACTTCCTTCACCATCCAAGTTATTAAGATATTCTCTATCTCTTCCGGAGGTGGTACATCATCAGTGTCATCCTCAACATTAACATCATCTTCAATAGGATTTGGAGGGCCATTTTCCTCCATAATCCGACATCACCAAGATGTAACTCTTCAGGTGGTCTTTGAAATTGCTTCTTTTTGTCCAATTTTGCATTTGCCATGACAAATATAACATTATTCATGGTTTCTTGCTTCAGACAATTTCTTCCTTTCTAATTGCATACAAATGTAAATATGATAAGCAAACTAGTATGCATTTTACAATTCAAATCGAAATTTGAATCCATGGTAGTTAAAATTGCAATTTGAATTATAAAATCGTACGATTTTGTGATTATTGTTGATCACAACAATTATGAGTACACCCAAAATCTTATTTATGTGTATAATCGGCTCTGTTAATCGTGGCTAGGTTGTTAATCTTAGATAGCGGCGCGTAGCGCCGGACCTCCCAAATGCTATAGCAGCATAGCGGATAGCGGGATGACCGCTATTGTGAGCTTTTAAAAATCAATGTAAATACTTAATATGAAAACATAAATACTAAAAATAGGTTCCAACAACATACATAAATACTAAAAATAGGCTCCAACAAACATACATAATGACTTAAAAACAAAAGTTGCAACATACATACACCAAAAGTTGCAACATACATAAACCAAACATAATGACTCAAATTAAGAATGTACTCAAAATGACTAAATAAAATTCTAAACGTAAACAAAATGACTAAATCACATCCGTCTCATCTTCACTTCTAAGTTCCACCACATTAATATCATCTTGCTCATCACTTGATTCAATTTCAAACTCTTCTTCTTCCACCTCCAACTCCTCATCTCCATTGGACACTAATGTAGCAAGTCTAGAGTGACGTCTAGAGAAGGAGAAGAAGACCATTGAGCAAAAGTGGAATGCGATATGAAAAAAGGGAGAAGGAGAACAGCTTCGGATTTGAGTGAAGAAAGAGAATGTAAATGAACTAATGTCTCACTTTTAGCTTTTATATTAGTGAAATAAAAGAGAAAAATACAAGTTTGCCCTTTAAAAAAGTCAAAATTACAGTATTGACCTCATCTTCACAATAGCGGTTTGTAAAGCGCTACAGAACCACTATTGCGCCGTTATTCCACCGCTACGCCTCCACAAATCGCGGCCGCTATTTCCTCTATCGCAGATAGCGGTTAGCAGCCCAAAAGCGCCGCAGCGAGGTCCCTTTACCGCTACGCTACACTGCTATAGCGCGCTATTGACAACCTAGAACCGTGGAATTGTATAATCTACGATCTTTGAATCAATTCTGCAGTTTTGGTCGCATTAGTGAAATAGGAGTGATGTTGCTTGGAAGTATGGAGTTTTTGTTAATGGAAATGCTTTAAAACTGAAGTGTTGATTTTGTGAGAAAACCGTATTAGGAGGGGTTTATCGACCCAAGCACCACTTGCCTGGAACAAGCTAAAATGTTGGAGTTTGCAAGGGTTGTTACTCATGAAATAAAGCAGTTAATGCTCCAGATTGTTTATGGCTTGGAAGAAAGATTGGTTAAAAAAACAGTTATTGCCAATGAAGATGATTGTGTAGAAGTTACTGAAAAAAGGAAAAGTTGTGAAGTGGAGGGTAGTATTTGGCTCGCAACCTACAATCAATAATGTGTTTAAGGAGTTGAAAGGAGTTGTATATAAAGATATTGCAAGGTTTTTCTATAACAATGCCGTTGCTTTCAATGTGGCAAGGAGGGAAGAATTTTGTGTTATGCTTCAATCTTTTGCAAAACATGGATGAAGGTAGGGTCTCAACTCAAATTTGATGGAAAAACCAAAAGTTACCCTTAAAATGTTTTAAATTTAAGGTGTAATTTCTGCTTTTCAGAGGTGAAAATGATAGCATGCCAGAAATTGCTCCGCGTCGGGAACCATTCCGCCCCCACGCCCCGCGATTTGCCCTCTAGCGACCACTATTTGATTCTGCTCTGCTAGACCTTTTTTCATTGCGGCTGGCCTCCGCGCTGCTCCGCCACATCGCTTTTGACTACTCTGGGATTATCTAGCATACTGTTATAGTGAGAGAATTGGAATCACCAATAAATTCTTGGTTAGAAAGAAGAGCATTATAGATCAAGCTGATAGTTTTTCCTATCAGAGATTTTAACATTTTCAATTGTTATCTTCTCTATAATCAATACAATTCAGAAATACCCCTGTTATTCATGTATTAATCCTTGTCACTAATTAGGAGGATATATGCTGTTAAAAAAACAAATATCAGATACAGGTCCTTCTGCAGAATCCTCCATTGGCATGGGTTGAACTGCATCCCAGGAGTGCAAGCTTATTAATGAAATTTTGAGGACACTAACCAAAAAACTTCTGGAAACTTTTGTTGTAGGCTCTGACTTCCTACTTCCACAATAGTCAATAAACTTGAAGTGACTATGCAAGCAAAGTTGCAAACGCGGCGTTTTTACAACTTGCTTCTTTTTGCATCATTTGAACTTTAAACTATAAACTGACTTCCACTTTTGTCTGATCTTGATACATGTAGTTAAATTCACCTGTCAGTTGAATGTCAGCACCGAGTCTAGTTCTGCAACCTGCGGCTTTCCTGTCTCGTGTTTATGAAATCCATGCCACTATGTTGTATAATTGTATAAGTTAAGGTTAACCAAGATAATTCTTATTGATGTTGAAACTGGATATTTTTTTATGTATTCTCAAAAACTATATTTCAATATCTTTAACGAGTTCCTTTTTATTTGCCTTGTCAGAAAATAAACACAATCAATACTCAATATGAAGAAAAACTGGAAGCACTCCGAGCTCGGCATGGAAACCGCAGGGCTGAATTTCTTCAAAGGGAATCACTTGCTAGACAACAGCAGTATGAGCAAATCATCCGGGATCCTTACTCTTCCAGCAGTGGCATGACACCCAGAGACTCTCATGCTCACAGCAATGTTAATGCTCCAGCTTCTGGTGGAGAACCCCAACGAGGCTATTCCGCTGATCACTTTGATCCCTACAGAGAGCAATCTCGATTTCTTGGGAATGCAAGAGATCAAGGATTTGAACCTAGAGGTCCTTATCCTGGGGGACGTGTCTATGACACCGGTTCACGTTACTACAACTGAGTTTTGACTAAAAGTTCACCTCTCTTGTTCGGTTTGTACTAAGTGCAATTTAAATTGCATACATGCATTTGGATGTAGGACTACTAGGATGTTTGTTGTGTTTGTGAAATCCAATACCATTAATAATTTTATGCCATTTGAGAACAACTGCATAAAACCACATTTAGCTAGGAAGAATGGCATGGAAGAATTAACTTGTTGTAAACTGGGGTTAGGCTAAATTTGTATTTTATATCTCTGTTATCAATTGTATTAATAGTTTTTTCCCCTCCTGGTTATGGTATTTTTGTTCTAAAAATGATGCTCTTAGTAGTGATTGGTTTCTAAATCTAGTTGGGTGCCTTAGTTTTGGTTGAAAGGCACTTTGTGTTATTGAATTTGAGTACTCCTTGTTGCTTATATATGTGTGTTCACAAATCTTACACATCTATTTATAAAAACAAAATTCTAAGTTATACATTCAAAATATAATTCATACCTATTTTCAAAGTTATTTATTTATATATTTTACAATATACTACTATTTATACATATTTCGCATATATTGGACAATAAAAATGTAATCTTAATGTGTTTTTATTAATGTCTTTCTACCAACAATGTTGATGAGAAAAAGTGCAAGAATCAAACCATGCGAAAGTTCAATAAACTTAATTTGATTTAAACTTTCAGAAATAAAAAAGAATGTATGGCTGCAGTAAATAATCAAACACATGCATTTTTTTCTTTACATTAAAATGATCTTAAGCTAGATCTCGAATAAAGTTTTTATGATTTGATTCTAACCAGTTTTTGTTGAAATTATTGGTAAAAATCTATAACAAGAGATACAACTTATTACATGCAATCTTTAAATATGTTTGGAACACTAATTAAGCCATGATGAAATTCTTTTCAACCCTATTAAGGTTATTCAAAGAGTGATCAAATGTTTTTCTTTAATCCATAATTTTAAGTCATGATGTTTAAAAGCAAGTTATGCATCAAGTTCAAATGAGTATTATGTTTTTTTAGTACTATAACAAAACATGACTTACAACTTGTATCTTAAAGTGATGATCAAGCTCCAGAGAGATCTAATATCACCTTGACAAAGTTGCTTGAGATATAAATCTTGATTCTATAGCTTTGGCTCATGATGCTTTTGCTCATTCTTTGATATATATGCACATGGTTTTGAGAGATTAAAGTTGTCTTCATCAAAACACAATATTGGAGAAGCTTAACTTCACAACTCCTCCTTTTTGATGATGACAACCATTAAAAGTTGAAATGCTTGAATCTCTTAGAACATTTAAGAAGCTTTTAACTAAATGCTCTCTCTAATTTTAATAACCCCCTTGATCAAAGCTCTTCCTTGATTCAAAGAAAATTTGATATCTTCGTTGCTGCAAAGGGTTAGAGACAAGTATACACATACATATATAACTTCTCCCCCTTTGTCATTAGTAAAAAGGATGGGAAAAAGTGTTGAAAGTTAATGTACATATATAAAAAAAACAGAAACATTGCAACAAAATATTACACAACACAATGATATAACATAACACGCGCTGGGTAAACTGTTTTAAAAATAAAACAAAGTTTTCGAAGTGATAACCGATAAATCAAATGGTGTAACCGGTTAGATGCAGAAGATTTATAAGTTTTTTTAATAGAAACTGCATAACATGATCAAACATTGAACAAACACAATATTTCTAAAACACAAATAACATATAGAGACATCATATAAAACATACTACATGCTGATATATGAAGAATCATAATAGAAAGAATAATTCACAAATAAAATTGTGAATTAACTCAAAAATTATTTAAGATAACATGTACTTTAATTGATGTATCAGAGTTGATGTCCTTAAAGTATGATTGTAGAAATGTCTTTGTATTGAGAATTACACATCATGCCCGTCTAATATGTCAAGTTCTCTTCGAATCTTGAAGAACGGTTCATTCACAAGTGGTTTTGTGAATATATCTGCAACTTGGTTATGAGTATCCACAAATGTCACTTCAACGTCACCCTTAAGTACATGATCTCGACGAAAATGATGTTGAATGTCTATATGTTTGGTTCTTGAGTGCATGACGGGATTTTTGGTTATATTTATCGCACTTGTATTATCAAATTTCAACAGAATGCATCCAAGGTTTATGCCATAGTCGCTAAGTTTTAACTTTATCCAAAGGATTTGTGCACAACAACTTTCTAGTGCAATATATTTTGTTTCAACTGTACTAAGAGCCATACAAGTTTGTTTTTTGCAGGATCAATACACTAGAGCGTTTCCTAGGATATAACATGTACCGCTTGTGTTTTTCTGATCAATTTTACAGCTTGCATAATATGAGTCAGAATAACTACTTAAATCACATACACTACCTTTAGGATATCATAGACCGACGTTTGTTGTCTCATTTGAGATACTTTGTGATTCTCTTCATGGAGGCAAGACGTGTTTCCTTTGGATTTTCTTGAAACTGAGTACAAAGACAAACAATAAACATAAAGTTAGAACAACTTATCGTCAAATATAATAATGAACCAATCATACCTCGATATTTTGTAATATCAATTGAAACACCAGATTCATCTTGATCTAAATACGTTTTGGAACACATTGGAGTAACCATTGCTTTGAAGTTGTCTATATCAAATCTTTTCAACAATTCTTTGCAATACTTGGATTGATTGATGAAGATGTCATTCTTTAGTTGCTTAATTTGTAGTCCAAGAAAGTAATTCATCTTACCCATCATAGACATCTCAAATTCTCCTTGTATCATCAATGAAAGTTCTTCACATAGATCTTGGTTTGTTGATCCGAATATGATGTCGTTAATGTAGATTTGAATCAATAAAGTGTGACTTTTGATTTTCTTTATAAACAAAGTTTTATTAACTTTTCCTTTTACAAATCCTCTTTCAGATAGAAAGTTTATAAGTCTATCATAACATGCTCTTGGTGCTTGGTTCAAGTCATATAGAGATTTCTTTAATCTAAAGACATGTGAAGGATTTTTGAAGTCTTCAAAATCGAGAGGTTGTTTGACATAAACTTCCTCATTGATATATCCATTCAAAAAGGCTTTATTGAGGTTCATTTGGAAAAGCTGAAAATTTAATGAACATGCATAATCAAGTAAAAATGAATAGCTTCTAACCTTGCAACCGAAGAGAATGTTTCTTCAAAGTAGATTCTTTCTTCTTGATTATAACCTTGAGCCACCGACATTTTTTTTTTCTTCCGAACAATTATACCATTCTTGTCAATTTTGTTCTTAAACATCCATTTGATACCTATGATGTGTTTATCACTTATCCTAGGAACAAGTTTCCAAACTTGATTTATTTCAAATTGATTTAACTCATCTTGCATAACAAGTATCCATTGGTCGTCTTCTAAGACTTCGTTAATCTTAGAAGGTTCTATTTGAGAAACAAATTCCATATTCAAAAAATCATCCTTGAGATTTAGCCTTGTTCAAACTCTTTTGCTTATGTCACCAATTACTTTGTCAATTGGATGATCACGATGGATTCTCCATTCTTGAGAAAAATCACTTTGATTTGACTCTTGTTGTGAAAATTATTTTTGGTGTTCCGGTTGATCAAGATTATTATCTTTGACAACTTCTTCCAAAACCAGGGCCGGTCTTAGGCTAGAACAACCAGGCCCACAGTCCAGAACCTCAAAAAATAAGGGGCCTCAAAATCGCAAGATGAATTAAAAAATTATAATAAATAATATTTAATATAAAAACTGAATGCTAAGTTTTTAACATAATGAAGTTGTAGCCTAGCGAATACAATGTTGTTTTAGAAGTGCACGGTGTTGGGTTCGAGTCTTACGTCTAACTGTTTTAACTATCTATAAATTATATTAATTTATATTTAAAGATTTATCATATACCAAGTTTATTTATTATTAAATTTATATAATAAAATATAATACATTTTTATTTATGTCTAGTTCTAGTATTTTTTATTTTAATTTTATAAAAAAATATATTATTAACTTTCATTTTATAATGATAAATTAAAATTTAAGAAGTTCTGTATTATTTTTAATTAAGTCAATATAATTAAATAGATAATAAATTAAATTATTAAAATTTAAATTATTTTGAATAATTTTATTAGAGTTAATCTAATTTAATATATTATTTATAAGATTTTATAATTTTATTTAATTAGTTTAGGTTCCCTAATATTTATATATAAATTCTAATAAAATCTTGAGGCTTTTATTGTTATGTCTTAAAGTTTTGAAAGTTTCGTTATTTTAAAAATATTTTTAAAATACAAATTTTTAATGTTTATTTTAAAAATCATATGATCAATAGGTATTTTTATATTTTACAATTTCAAAATTTAGTCGTTTATTAATTAAAACTTCGATATTGATAATACAAATATAAAAATCATAATTGTATTAGTCAAATTCTATTGAGATACTTAAAGCTATTTTTTAGTTTTTAATATTGTTTATAATTTAAATATAAAAAATATATCTCTTTGAATGCATTGATGTCAATATAAAATTCACACCTCCTTCCTCAATACATTTTCACATTTTCACGTATCTATCTTTCTTTTAGCTCTTCACCGTAGAACCTTTGCCTTCCACGCACCAACCACTGCACCGCCGCCACCTCTGATGACAATCACAACCACTGCCTCCCTTTGAGCTGATACAATGTCCTCCTCTCTCTATGAAACAAAAGGGGAAAACACAACTCAATAAAGGAAAATAAAATTTCAATGTTAGTTGATCAATTTTTTTATTAGCACTTAATTTTTATCATTTGTCCAGTGACTCCAAAAAGTCAGGACTGGCCCTGTCCGAAGCCATTTCTAAAATACCATCATCATCACAAACAATTCTATCTTTCTTAGAGGCATTAAATTCATAAAAAGAAACATGCATTGATTCTTCAATAATTAAAGTTATTTTATTATAAATTCTATAAGCTTTACTAGTGAGAGAGTAACA